CAAATTTAAATTCAGCCTTCCTTTGCCCGCGGATAACAGGTGCGGTCCCGTAAAAGTTTTGGCGGGCAAAATTATTATCACGAGAACCGCGGAAGCCAGAAGTCTGAAATTTCGTTGAAATATTTTCATTAAATTTAAATTCAACCTTCCCGCGCGCTCAAGTATCACTTGCCGCCTCCTTAAACGTTTCGGCGTGGGAAATTATTATCTCGGGAACCACGAAAGTTGAAAATCTGAAATTTTACGACGATTTCCCTCATCAACGTACGACCTCTACAAATCTGGATTCAGCCTTCCCGTACCCCTGGATATCACGGATGGCCCATTGAAAGTTTTGGCAGGGAAATTGTCTCGTAAGCTGCAAAAGCTGGGAAAGCTGAAATTTTAAGTAACATTACCAGTCCACGTACAGCTCCGCAAAATTTCAGGCTTTGACGAGAAAAATCATTGACTGGGAGTCAGAGGAATTAATAGGCTGAAATTTTCAGGCGAATGTTTCCTGCCTAAGCAGGGGTTTCACAAACTCGAATTCAGTTTCTAGGTATGCCGAGGTCTCACGTACGACCACATGGAAGTTTTGTCTAAGATCAATCGAACTCAGAAAGTTAAGAGACTGAAACCCTTCGAAATTTCAAATTCATTTTTCACCTACCACTGCGTAAAATTTCTTACTATTTTTCAACATTTTAACTATTTTTGCACAGACCAAAGTGCAAAGCAGTGAAAATCTTTAGCAGGTAATCGCTCGTGGACGGAATTACACAAAACACATGGTCGCACCGGTTATTCTGGTGCGCGCTGCTATTTATTCTTTCATCCCACCGTGGTGAGTATGAAGTCAGCAGAGTAGTCAAAAAAATCCGAAAAGTGCCTCTGAAAGTCCGGAAAAAAACTGAAAAGTATAATCACTGTTTCACTTGTAACTTGTTTGTAAGAAGAAACTGAAAACAGTCATTTTCTCTTCAAAATTAAGACTTTGCTGGCGTCATATTCTCGAAAAATTGAGGAAAGTAAGCACTGAAATCCACGCTAAATGTCCCAGCGTTGCAAATAGACAAGGGCTCAGTGAAAAAGAAATTATTTCTATGGGTGTTCCAAGATAATGAATTACTGCGCGGGCTACATCTGACGTCGAGTCAAACTGCTCGAATAGACTACACTCTGCAGACACATTTTATACTATTCTTTTCACTAAAATTTGGTAATAATTGTAAATAACGTACCAGTGTAGACGGAGAGCATGTAGAAATGCTGATAAGCCTTCCATTAGGATCAGAATGGCGACTGTTAGCAATGCAAATGCCCAAAAAATGATGTACTGGGCGACGGCTCCAAGCCATCCAGTCACAACAAAGCCATAGCGGAATACCATTGTCCAGAGTACTTCCGATAACTCTGACATTTAGTGTATTACCGTTTGTGCCAGTGCATCAGTTAGAAGTTTACAGTTCGGGACGGGGATTCATAAAATCTTCAAAAAAAGTAGCTATAAATGTGCAGGTATCACAGTAGTAGAGATACAGGTGGAGGTATCACAGTAGTAGAGATATACACAATTGCTTAGTGAGGAGCAAGATCATTCTTAGTCTTAGAAGTGGGCGTGCCTAGTATGAGATTTTCTCCAAAACCAATCCTCAAAGGAGAAATCACCGAGAGCTCGGCCAATGAGTCGCTTCTGGCAGTCGTTGTGTCACTCGAGCTACATAAAAATATCTTAGCGTCTTCTAAAGAAAAGGAATTTTGAGTTCTG